CATATCTGAGAAACTTTACAGATAGAAAAAGAGGGTCACTATTATGAAATTTTCATCACAGTAAGAATAACTTACACAAACACCCGTTTGATCATATCCTCAGCTTTCAATTTATGCATCGCAGCCATAGGGAGGATCAAATCCAGGAAAACCGCACTATAGCTTGTTGCCTCTCCTTGTTTCGCTTGCTGCTTGATATGGTAAGCAGAATCAATCAGTCTCCATTCGGGCTTTAGTTGTATGGCCTCCGGAGCTTCAGAGAAAGTGATAACACAGCTATTCCAAGGTGGTGTTGAGACTTGAGAAATAAGCAACGACATTGCGATCGCGGGGAATATGGGAGCTTTAAAGTCACCGAAAGTACCCATGCTGGAAGAGACATCGCATATGGCCAGTGCATTTTCCAATACGCCCATTTCTTTGATGCGGTCAATCATGGATTGCCATTGTGCTTGGACAACTTCAGCTGAAAATTTAGTTAGCTCATTGTCAATTTCGAGTTTATGGTGTTTATCGAGACCGGTAGCAGTTCGAACAGCTTCTTGCAGAAGTTCGCTAGGAAGGAGGGTTGCGCCACTGATCTTCTTTTTCCCCTTGAGTACGTCTATTAAATATTCTCTGAATCGGTCCGGATCGTGGTTGTAAAAATTCTCCTTGTTAACCTTCATGGACTTGGATGGTACACGATTGTACTTGATCTTATCCCACGCCTTCGTCGACATGGCTACTTCTGGCACTTGAAGGAATCGTCGAAGAGGAGAAACGATCCATCGGTTATAAGCTCCGCGGAATTTATGAGCCACGAGAGCGTCCAGAGGTTGTTTGAATGCCATTACCGGTAAAGGTAATTCACTTCGGCTGTAAAGTAATTCTGCCAACGGCGTTGCAATGCATGTTGCTCGATCATGAGCTCCCCCTATCGTAGGCGCCCATTTCCCTGCGAGGCTAACTTGATACGCGAATTGAAGTTTGGTTTCTGGTGGGACATTCTTATCGGCAATTTGACGCAGCAGATGAATATCCTTTGCAAGTGCATCTGCAAATAGTTGGACAACCGTTACATACAAAGCACTGAAGGCCTTGTCTTCATTCAGTTTGCTCCGGATATTACTATTTAGCCGCCAATATTTCTTCTCCCGCGCGTATTGTGCATGATGTTGTTCGCGCTGATTATGGGCATTCGATGCCTTAACTCGAATAGTCTGGTCCGCCTCCAGACGCGCCAGTCTGGCTTCCTTTTCAGCAGGAGTTTCCTCTCCTTGAGGCAGAAATTGTTTCCTGTGCTTTTTGGTAGCGTAATAATAGCTTCGAGTTCTGTGGTGTCGTTCCTGCCATGTTGAGTGAGGAAGACGGGGAGGATGAAGAGCATCAAAATCCGAGGTTGGAGTAAGCTGATCCCGGGCGGCGAGTAAGACAATGTTGAGAAGATCCTTCCAATATCCATGAGGCAATCCGATTGTGACTTCCTGGAATTCTTCGATTTCTTCTTGCTTGGATACTTCGACACCAGCATCTTCAAGGGTAACGAAGACCATATCTTCTTCGACTTCGACTTCCTTTTGTTTCTTTCTAGCTAATTGAGGAGGTATCCGCCTTTTAACAACGCGCTTAACCACAGGACCGACCAGTTCCTTCAGGTTTTCAATAGCTGTCCGAGGATGACGGGTATATAGCCAAGCATACGCTCTATAAAATGGCTCACGCGCAGATTTTCCTTCGTGAATGGACCGCAGATTCCATATAATCCGTAATGTAAGTTCGGGACTTAAATTCCAACTTTTCTCCAGAAGTATCTCGAAATCTTCTAACTTAGTGTTTTGATTTAGACCAGCAAATGCGTCTAAAGCGGTCGATTTGGTGGATTTGAACGCTGATGCGCTGTTCGTCGTCCGTGTATGATTCGAGACGTTAGCCATAACACTCATAAAAGCGTTAACAGCGGGAGTGGTTTCTAGAGTTGGAATGTAGACGTTTTTTCCTTTCTTCTTTCGTTCTTCCGCTTTCGCTCGGCCAGCTACTCGAGCAGCTTCCATCTCTGATGGAATAGTATGAGGAAATATCGAATCCAATAACTGGTTCAAAGGTTGGTATAATTCTGGCAAGTAGGGAATAGTGACTGGACGAGAACTTTGAGATGGCGAAGTTTCGTCAACGTCATGGCTTGCTGGTTTGAATGGGTACCGTTTCGGCGCGAGACTTGGGGACGCGTTCGTTGTCATGAGTCTACTTGAATTGAGAGACCTTGGTCAATACGTTGTAAACGAATACTTACGCGAAGACTTACAATATTTCGCAGAACGCGATGAAATGGAACAAGAAGAGATATGCAACGTTGTTAACGGAGTCATCACTCGATTAAATGACATGGCCACAGGAGGCTGTGATTTGAAATTGCAGTGTCGGATTAATGAAGCGACGGTTTCCAGTGTTCCGTATTTAGATATTAGTTCGTGCGGAGTTCCAATCATCAAGTGGCTTCAACATTGTTCACCTTGTAGCACTCGTATATAGCCAATTCGACGTGCAATATTATCCCAGCTATGACTTCCGAGCTGAAGATGAGGTGAGCTCCATATTCCGCTTGTGTGTATCTACCTACTTTACCGTCTGGCAAATCCACATACTGACTGACGTTTCTCCTATGATCTCTCTACTCTGCGTACACCTTCGCTCTTCGATAAACCCAACGTGATAACACGTTCTTAATCAAATCTCATCATTGCCACAATACGCAGACGCGTCAATATCACGCCAACGCCAGGATTTGTTGTTAAGACTACGACGACGCAGGCTGGCTTTTACACAGTACCAAACCCTTCGCCGCCGCCTCCAAGTATCCGCCATGCTATTCCAGTCGGTCTGAAGATCTTTATCAATGTTGCTTACTCTTCCGAGATTCCCCCACCTCCAACGAATGGTCTTCCCAAAGAGGAAGAGGAGGAGATCATTAGGAAGGCTATCGAAGGAGACGAAGGGACCACGTATTTCGTTCCTCTGGTTGTTAGCGATGGTAGAGATGATAAAGATAAAGGTATGTAATAACCATGTCTCCGTATATCCAACTCTGGATCATAATTTGACGCCGTCCCTGTAGCCGGAAAGCCCTCTCTCATCTTCGATGCTATTGTCAATCCATCGTTGAAATCCCGGATGATCAAAGATATCAATTTCCGCTCATTTGTCCTCGGTTGGTTGGGATTACATCCGACGCTTGCGGACCGCTGATAATCCAATCTCTAGAAATCTTACTTACACATATTGAATTGCCGCCGCTTGCTACCCAAGCCCGCTCACTCTCACTCTCACGAACGTTAGCATCTCCGAACATTCGCTTTAAAGGAACTCTAGTCCCGCGCGAAATGGATGTCCCAGATTTTGACTCAATGAAGCTCGCTTCTCAAGCTGAACCGATATCCAAACCATTGATCGAAGAAATCCCTGCAGAAGTGCCCAAATCGACAGTACTACCCAAGTCTATCTTAAAAAAGACCGGTTCTACTTCTGTGGATCCTATTCCAAATACTTATGAAGATCCACACGCGATATCTGTAGCCGACAAAAAGCATGAAGTGCCGACTTGGCGCTGGGAGGGTGACAGAATAGTACCTCATCAGAGGTTAATTATCGATGCACCGAAACTGGTGAGTATAACTTGCTTGGTTAGGTGTATATATCACTTATTTACTTTCTTTTAAGACTCGAGGCGATCATTCCAATTCAACGCTAGCTTTATCAGAAGATATTCTTACTTTACGCACGCCGTCATACTTTTGCCAAATCCCTTTAGATGAAAATCCGTCTACCAACATTGACAAAGTACGTGCTGAATGGCGAATTGGAGAAGGAAAAATTGTTATCTATCTCCAGCAGCAATGATTATAGTGCAAATAGATAAAAGTTACTCCTCGTCTTGACATCGGCAATGGTACAGACAGACTATTGAGTGGCTCACACGATTGACTATTCTAGCTTCCAATAACGATATTGCGAATACTTGGCTGGTCTCAAATGTTTAAAGGCATGATAAAGGCATGTGTTGAAGGAGATCGAGATTCGACAATGCTACTGAAGCATTCGATTGACAGCGCTAGCATTTCAGTGGCGCTGACTGCCAGTGCCTGGTTTCTAAGCCGTGCGTAAAATCATCACGTTCCTTGGAACATGCTTATAAAGGAAG